TGAATAACTGACCATCAGACCAAATCCTCCTTCACCATCACGTATACACACTCACGAACGCGATGAACTCCCCTCAAAAGCCTTTCGCGAACGCGGCATGGACCCTCACGAAAGCAAAGCTTACGAAACCCGGCCCTTCGCGAACGAGAGATCTTCTTCGCGAATGCGAAGTCCAAGATACCTGCAACTGCTGGAACAAAATCTGTAATTTTCCAAACTCCAAATTGGTCCGATTGACCACCAGAAACTCACCCGAGGCCCCCGGGACCTCAACCAAAGGCACCAACAACTCCTAAAACCTCATTAAAACTTGTTCCAATCATCAAAACACCTCAAACAACAACAAATCACTCAAAACACATCGAATTCAAGCCTAAGTTTTCTAAAAACTTCCGAAATACGCTTTCGATCAAAAACCCAACCAAACCACATCCGAATGACCTGAGATTTTGCACACACATCTCAAATGACATCACAAAGCTATTGCATTGTCAGAATTCCATTCCGGCTCCCGGATCAAAATCTCACTTACCAACCGGAAATCGCCAAAATCTCAACTTCGCCAATTCAAGCCTAATTCTACTCCGAGCCTCCAAAACCAATTTCGATCACGCTCCTAAGTCATAAATCACCCAACGAAGCTAACCAAATCATAAAAATTCCGATCCGAGCTCATATACAAATAAGTCAACTTTTGGTCAAACCTTTCAAATTCGAAGCTTTCATCTGAGACTGTTCTTTCAAATTCCTTCCGATTTTCCTAAAAACCAAAACCAACGATCTACATCATTCATAATACATTACACAGGGCAAGTAATTCCCGATAATTGACGATCAAGTGAAAAAGCTCAAAACGACCGGTCGGGTCGTACAAGTATGACCTACTTAGATGCAGTATAGTCATGCAGATAGATAACCAGGCTTATGAAATAAGATATATCAATATTCGTAAGTTCGACAAAGTACAGAGAAAAGAACTTCAATATATCTATAGATGCTCAGAGGGACATCTTGTCAAGATCTGTATATGTTTACAAAGTAAGGTCTAGATATTGGCTAAAAACTGGAGGAAAAAGGAGAGAAGAATCGCATAGACGCACTCACAAGGTCAGATTTGTACAGGCTGCATGACAGAAGTAGCAAGAGTTATGAAATTGGAAGAATTTCGATGACAGACCGTGGTATGAGAAAGAGGCCTACAAGTGGGAATACCCTGGACTTTGGATTTATTCACAAAACAGTTGCCTAGATGGCAATAAGAGTATTAAAATATTCGCAAGAGCCAAAAGTTAGGAAAATGATAAGTGCATCAGTCAACATTCAAAGACGAATGTTCCAAAGGGGGGGAATGATGTTACACCCCATATTTTCGTACATGAAAGTACACCATAAGTAAATTGATGAAAGCTCAGAAATGAGATGTTACATTCCGCATTTTCATACGTTAAAGTTTCGTCATACGTTAATCGACGTAAGTTCGTGAATGAGATTATTTTGGAATTATAAGTATTATACTATTTCAAACAAGTGATAAGTAAATTCGTGAAGGTGAGAGGGTAAGCGAATCGAAGAAAATGAGTTTCGTCAAAGTTTGACAATTTGGGGTAAAATACGATCCGAGCTATAATACCCGGTATTTATGGACTAGTACCATACAATGTATCACATGACCATGACTATAAGATATACAAAGTGTGTTAAAAGTGAGTAGTATTTTAAGTAATTTGAGATAATTCCTACTTATATGGTTAATTGGGTTACTTAATAATTTTGGTGGTAAGATTAACTAGGAAATTAAAGTCTTTGAGATAAGGATTAAGGCATTAACGTGGAAGCCTTATTTTATGGAAATGGTGACTCTTAAAGTTCATAAATAGGTGGAAAATTAAGATGACTATTGTTGGCTAAGTCATCCCAAAAGTGGGGGCTCACAAATCTAATAATATGAGAAATTGTTACATATCATTAAGAGGAAAATCATGGGCTGAAGTTAGCATATCATTTTCAAAAGAATTCTTATGAACTCTTATAAGAGAGCTAGTCTTGCTAAAGTATGGCTTGCTACAATAGCGTAAAATGCGATTCTAAGAGAGCACGATGCAATCTTCCTCAAGAATATCATACAGATTTTCCCCTACTTCGATCCGCCGTTACATGTTTTATTGCAATTAACGTGTGTTAGAGGGATTGTCAGGAGAATCAACTTAGGTATGTTAAGGCTATCCCTTCTTTCCTTTTGACATGATCCATACGATACAAACGAAATGAATAAATGCATAACTTCCATAAATAACTCTATTCATAGAGGTATTAGAGGTGCCTATGTTCTTGAAATCCGATATGTCTTATTATTATTCTATCGTCTGTTCATGGGTCTTAGAAAATATGTAAGTTGATACAGTTTATTTCATGATATTAATCAGAGGTATAATGGTCTTATGACGTTCCGAGAGATTTTATAAACGTACTTCTCATGCATTGCATTCATTTATACATGTACATTAACCAATGACCAGACAACGTTATATACGCATATATATGTATATAGGAAAAGGTTACGGCGTTATATACGCACCACCACCTGATCACCTGGTATACGTTGATGATTTTACCCCCAATGGACGAGATGATATGATAGGATGCCCTCAGAGGCTTGATGATGTTATGAACATATGTACATATACACGACATGACATTTATATGTATATGCATAACATTATACATATTAATGATTCACAGAGTTATTCAGACTTACATGTCGAGTTTTTTACTCCATGTTTCTCTTATGGTTATTATTTATTGATTTTTATTCCTTACATACCCGGTACATTATTTTTATTGACGTATCTTTTGCCTAGGCTATCAGCTTAGCGAAAGATGTTGGTGTTCTCCATTTGCTCTGGAGTTGCTTATTTGGTTAGTATGATTTAGACATGTATTAATTGGTATGGCGGGGCCATGTCTCAACCTTATGATGTTTATTTACTCTTAGAGTCTTGTAGACATATGTCATGTACATATAAGATTGTATGGATTTGTTGGCCTATGTTTAGTATTGGAGTGGTCATTTTGGTCTTATAGGCCTATATGTCTTATGTATAAGTTGGTATTACATGTTTTATTCTAGTTTTCCTACGAAAACCTTTCCGTCTCATTTATCTATGATAGCATGATACGAAAACATACATTATGTTGGTACTTGGTTGAGTAAGGTACCGGGTGCCCGTCATGGTCCATCAGTTTGGGTCGTGACATTAATGTTTAGTTTAAGGAGCATTTCTACATAGTTTGTCCTGTTGCTAAGCAAACAAGAATTCCTTTTTCTTCTAGTAATGCATGTTCTATTAATGCATTTGAGCTTATACATGCTAATGTTTGGGGGACATACAGAGTATCTACTCATAATGGTAGGAGGTATTTTTTGACTTTAGTGGATGACTACTCAAGGTTTATATGGTTTTTCTTAATGAATGATAAGGCAGAATCTATTGTGATATTGAGAAAGTTGCTGTTATTAGTCAAAAATCAGTTTCACAGCAGTGTCAAGTGTCTAAGGTTAGATAATGGTACTGAATTCTTTAACAACCAAGTCACAGGACTACTACAAGAACATGGCATAGTTCATCAAAGTCCTTGTATATACACTCCTCAACAAAATGGAAGAGTTGAAAGAAGACATAGATCTATTCTTGATATGGCTAGGGCCTTATGTTTTCAGGCTTGTGTCCCCCTAAAATTTTGGGGAGAATATGTTACTATTGCTATGTACATTCTGAATAGGCTGCCTACTATTGTACTTAAGGGTGAATCTCCTTTTGGAAAGCTGTTCACAAGTTCCTTTCTTTACAACATCTCTGAGTCTTTGGGAGTTTGTGTTATGCAGCTAACCTAAAGAAAACAGATAAGTTCTGTCCTAGAGCTATTCCTGTTGTTCATCTAGGCTATTCCTCTATCCAGAAGGGTTATGTTCTGTATGACCTGAGCTCTCAACTCTTCTTTGTTAGCATAGACACTGTGTTCAGAGAAGATATTTTTCCATTCAAACATCAACATACAACCCCATCTCCTTTGTTTCCAGTTCTAGAGTTCAGAGATGCTGAGTGTCCCGCTCTGCATACTCCTAACTCCTTCAGTCTATTTGCTACTCCATGTCCTTCTATGCCTCCCTTGAGTTACCAACCTAGTCCATTCTCCCCTTCTCCTCCTCCCGCCGATCATTCTTCCTTATTTTCTCTTCTTTCACCTGCTCATGCTGATTTAATGAGATCTTCTAGGGTGACTAAACCTCCTATATGGATGGAAGACTATATTGTGCTGACTAAGACTTCTTCCTATGCTCACCCTATCTCACAGTGTGTAACCTATGATTATCTCTCACTACCTGCAGGGCATCAATTGCGGCTTATTCAGCCATTACTGAGCCAAGGTTTTATGATGAGGCCAAGGCAGATCCCAAGTGGATTGAGGCTATGAAAGCTGAGATTTCAGCCTTAGAAGCTAATCAGACTTGGACCATTGTTGATCTTCCTCAAGGTAAAATTCCTATAGTGTGTAAATAGGTCTTTAAAGTGAAGTACAAGTCTACTGGTGAAATGGAGAGGTATAAGGCTCGACTAGTTGCCAAAGGATATAGTCAACTAGAAGGTATGGATTATAAGGAGACTTTCTCTCTTGTAGCTAAGATGGTAACTTTTAGGTCTGTGGTGGCTTTGGCTGCAACATCTAGATGGTATATTTCTCAGATGAATGTACACAATGCTTTCCTTCAAGGTGATCTCCCTGAAAAGGTGTACATGTACATCCCAGATGGCTTTTCCAGCTAGGAGGTGTTACAGCAGCAACAAAAGGTTTGCAAGCTTCATAAGTCATTATATGGGCTTAAACAAGCTCCCAGACAGTGGAGCTTGAAGCTTACTAATGCACTGACTAGCATGGGCTTTGTTTAATCGCACTAAGACTATTCTTTGTTCATACATAAGGTTGGCTGTGATCTTGTAATAATGTTGGTATATGTGGATGATCTGCTGGTGACTGGAACTAGCTTAGCACTCATTCAACAAGTGAAGAAAGATTTACAAGCCAGGTTTAAGATGAAGGATCTGGGAGAACTGAAGTTGTTCCTTAGTATTGAGTTCTTGAGATCTAAGGAAGGAATTTTGATGAATCAAAGGAAGTATGCACTTGAGCTAGTGTCTGAAATGGGATTAGCAGGAAGTAGAACAGCTGCTACTCCACTAGAGTTCCACCACAAGCTCTCCTATGTAGAACTAGACAGGTTTTTGCACACTAATGAGAACTCGGGTGACAAATAACTAGAAGATAGAAGCATCTACCAAAGGCTGATTGGCAGACTGTTGTACCTAACTATGACTATGCCTGATATTACCTTTGTAGTTCAGGTACTTAGTCAATACATGCATGCTCCTAAACAGTCTCACATGGATGCAACCATAAGAGTAGTTAGATACATTAAGGGCACTGCAGGTCTTGGGTTGTTAGTGCCACCAGATGGAAGCATAGAATTGTTAGCATTTTGTGACTCGGATTGGGGAGCACGTGTAGAAGTCAAGAAGTCAGTAGAAGGCTACATGATGAAGTTTGGGCAAGCTATGGTGTCTTGGAAATCAAAGAAACAAAGTACTATTTCCAGAAGTTCTGCTGAAGCAGAATTCAGGAGCATGGCATCAACTGTAGCTGAGATCACTTGGTTAATTGGTCTATTTAAAGAGCTTGGAGTGAAGGTGAATTTGCATGTGCAACTGTTTTGCGATAGCAAAGATGCAATTCAGATTGCAGCTCACCCCATTTTTCATGAGAGGACAAAATTTTTTGACATTGATTGTCATTTTGTGAGAGAAAAAAATTCAAGATAGGCAAATACAAACTCAACATATTGGAATCAAGGATACCTGCTTACAAAAGGCTTGGGTAGATCACAACATGATCATCTGGTAGGCAAGCTGGGAATGAAGAACATATTTCAACCCTCAACTTGAGGGGTATGTTGTGGCTAGTAGTTAAAAGCAGTTACCTAGCTGTATGTCAGCTGTTAATGATTTGGCATTAGTGTAGGATTAAGTTAACAAGTTAGTTAGTTAGTTAGCCATGTGTATAAATAGGGAGTTTTACTTTCATTTTAGATTTTGTAGCTCAGTATTGATTTAGTGAGAATGCATTTCACTTCCTTCTCTCTCGTCTCATTTCCTCTTCTGCTCATCTGCATAGCTGACCTGCATTAACTGTTAATGATGGTGTTACAACTTATAACGTAATGTGGCGTGGAGAAAATGTATTCGTTAATCTATATTATTATAAAAGCATGAATACAATGTTGGTTTACAAAAATAACCTTATAATAATAAGCATAATAACTCAAAATAAAAGAACATAACCGGAATTCTAGATATTAGCCTTATAATCCTATTAGTTTTAGGACATAATACTATATGTTAGGAATTTGGGAAAGGATCCAGTCCAATCCCTAATGTGTGAATTAAATCTCAATGATATCTTGGATAAAAGCCATCTGGCTGCTTAAAGTTTTAATAGTTTGGATGCATTTGAATTTTGTGACAATGTTTTTTTTAGAGCATACACCCTTTAAGTTCTTTCACAAAAAATAAATAAAATAACAGACTGAGGACTATAAAGTTGGTGCGTCATTTTACTAATTTATTTCAATGAAAAAAGATAAATAAAATAACATACGATTTGATTAATTTTGAAAATCAGAAAAGTGGAATATGTATATTTTTCTTCTAAAAGTTGCGCTACCAATTTTTCTTTCTTTCTTAACATTCTTGGTTGTTTAGTCTTCTTAGTGTGATGACCTGGCCAGTCGTCTCATGAGTTACCGCTCCGTTTTTCCCATTTCTGCTTCTTTATGCTTTGTTATTCGTGTTATGTGGTATCGGATTGGTCGGATCGAATCCGGAATGATTTTGGTAAGGTTTGAGACACTTAGTCTCTTTTGAGGAAGCTTAAGTTGAAAAAGTCAACTGGATGTTGACTTATGTGTTAGAGGGATCGGATGTGAGTTCCGATGGTTCGGTTAGGTTCGGGAGGTGATTTTTGACTTAGGAGCGTGATCGGAATGAGTTTTGGAGGTTCGGAGTAGATTTTGGCTTGAATTGACGAAGTTGGTATTTTGGCGATTTCCGGTTGGTAGGCGAGATTTTGATATAGGGGTCGGAATGGAATTCCAAGAGTTGCAGTAGTTCCGTTGTGTCATTTGGGATGTGTGTGCAAAAATTCCAGGTCATTCGGATGTGGTTTGGTTGGGTTTCTGATCAAAAGCAGAATTCGAAAGATTTTAGAAAGTTAGGCTTGAATCCGATGTGTTTTGGTTGATTTGATATTGTTTGAGGTGTTTTGAAGATTGGAGCAAGTTTGGATAAGGTATTGGGATATGTTTTTGCTTTCGATTGATGTCCCGGGGGCCTCGGGGTGATTTCGGATGGTTGACGGGAAGTTTGAGGAATGTTTGCAACTGCTGAACTTTTGCTGCTTTTGGTATTTCCACACCTGCGAATTGGGGACCGCAGGTGCGACGCTGCATGTGCGGGAGATCGGCCATAGAAACGGAAAAAGGGCTGATGAGCAGCGACCGCAGAAGTAGGGTGACTGCATCTGCAATATTGTAGTTGCGGAAGGTTGACCGCAGAAGGGGTATTAGCCGTTAAGTGATGAAACATAGAAGCGGTTATTTGGCCGTATATGCGGTACCGCAGAAGCGGTAATTTGGCCGTAGATGCGAAAATGACTGGGCAGAAAGTATAAATTGTGCCCTTCGCAATTTGAGCTATTTCACCATTTTTTACTTCGACCTTGGAGCTTTTTGGACGATTTGAAAGAGGGATTTCAAGGGAACTTCATTGAAGTAAGGAATTTGGACCTAAAACTCGTTCCTATGCTATTATTACACGGATTATAGCTATAAATCATGTAAATTAAGGGTAAAATTGGGGAACTAGGGCTTGAAAACTTATACCTTTGCTTGGGGATTTGAAGGACCATTTGAGGTCGTATTTCAGAACTTTTGATATGTGTGAACTCATGGGGAGATAAGGAACCTATTGATGTAAAAATTATTGAATTCCAAGACAAGGGGCCAGGGGTCGGGTTTTGGTAATTTTGGGATTTGTGTTGTAAATTGATTATTTTCGCTTGGGCTTCGTTCCCTTAGCATATTTTGACGTCCTCGTTCTGACTTTGGATAGATTTGACACGAGTGTAGGCCGATTTGAGGGGTAAAGGCGTCGTGAGCTAGATATTTGACCGGTTCGTGGTGAGTAATAATTGTAAATGATATTTTGAGGGTTTGAAACCCCGGATTGCACATCGTAGTGCTATATTGAGGTGAGACACACACTTGATGACGAACGTGGGGTCGTGCACTATTGAGGATTGTAACTTGGTCCGTCCCGATTGATGGTTTTACCGCATATTTGACTGAATCCTATTTGCTATCATCATTATTTAGGCTTCGTGCCAACTATTTGAACCCTTCGAGGATTTTTACTGGTATTTCCTCACTTTTTTGACTTTATACTTGAACTCAGTCATGTTATATTTCACTATTTTCGTACTCAGCCATGTTTACTCTGTTTTAACACTTACATGATCTTTTAAATGATATTTTTGGGCGGAGAATCATATTTTACTATTGCCCGAGTAGCTTGTGAGGATTTTGACTGGGTAAGGCCGAGGGCCTATGTTGTAAGGAAACATTTGATATTGATTATGAGGCCGATGGCCTGAGATATGTACGCCACGAGGTGGCTTGATTGATATGAGGCCGAGGGCCTAGTGATGATGCCACGAGGTGGCTTGATATTGCGCTTGGGCCGTAAGGGGCCCCTCTAGGAGTCTGTATACCCCCAATGAGCGCGGGTACCCATTGTAATGTGAGATTGAGCCCGAGGGGCTGGTATTGTTCTATGTGATTGCCCGAGGGGTTGGTACTATTCTGAGATGTTGCCCGAGAGGCGGATTTGTTGATATTGTGCCTGAGGGGCGAACCTTTATGTGTTTATTTTGATAATTGACTGTCAATTACCTGCTTAATTGTTGAAAAAGGCTTTTCGTGAAGTATTTTGAGTTAAAGGATATTACCTAGCTTTCACTAGTTTACTGTTTTAAATGGTTGTACTGCTTCATTATAGAATGTCTTGTGCCTTACGTGTTTTTTTGCTTTCAGTCTTTATTTACATTTGTTACTCATTGAGTTGGAGTTCTCACTTTACTCCCTGCACCCCGTGTGTAAATTCAGGTGTTGCTGATCCTGCCAGTGCGAGTTGAGGGCTCCCGGTGGATATTCGGAGTTCACGAGGTAGCTGCTTGGCGTCCGCAGTCCCGTGTTTCTCCCTCTTGTCATTTCTATCTCTTTTCAGACATTTGTAGTAGTTATAGGCTTATCAAACTTGTAGTAGGATTTATAGATGCTCATGACTAGTGACACCCCGATATCGGGCTGTGTTGGGTTATTTTCCGCGAATTATATTATTATCTGTTAATTTTGGATTATCTTATCATGCTTTAGATTTATTTCTTATGGTTTATCTATTAATAATTGGATATGGAAGTGTCGGCTGGCCTTGTCTTCACGAGAGGCGCCATCACGACCGGGTTCGAGTTTAGGATCGTGACACTTAGGTTCACTGAAAATTAATGCACATAAATTTTTTTATAGAAATAATGTTTAGGTATAAATCTGTTAGTTTAATTTTCTAAACAACATTGTGAAATGTTCAAACACATCCAAACCATTAAAACTCTAAGCATCTAGGTGGCTTTATCCATGATACCATTGAAATTTACAGGACCATTAAGTACTGGAGTGGATCCTTTTCATAGAAATCATACATGATCAACTTTATAAATTCTATTAGTATAATTACTTTCGGGCTATCTAATTCACATAAAATTGAACAAGTAAATATCTTTAGTCATGTAATCCTATTATTTTCAGGATATACTTCTTAAAAATTTATATTACTAATTTAATTTGAAAACGTATTATAATGTCCTATTACTAATTTAATTTGAGAACGTATTATATTATCCAAGTTCATTATAAAAGCATAAATACAATATTAATATACCTAAATAACCCTAAATTATTAAACGTAAGAACTAATAGGAAGAGGACATAACTGCAATAACCTAATTTTTGGACTACAATACCTTCTATGCTAATTTTTAATACTTAAGATTTTAAAATTAATAAAATTTTATCTATTAAATTCTTATTAAACATATATAGGAAGGTTTAATAAAATCAATTTCATAAGAACAAGCTTTCAAGACTATATTATAAAGAGTTGACTCTGCTATAATAGGATTATTCTTTGTAGATGCCTCCGGCTGAATCGAAATAATATTTCTATGTCATGCATTACTTAAAAATATCATATCAAGAGGCATGACATTGTTAGCAATAATAGCAATTGGCGTACCAACAACGATTTTATTATGAGGCCACCCACTTTAGATTTGATATACCTCTTCAAACAACTTAAATAATTATCACAAATATATCAAAGCAATGCATTGACGCTAAATTTATAAGGAAAGTAAAATTGATAATATAGGATGAAGCACTTATGGCTAAGTTTCAAACGATCGAAATTATTACATGGAGTTCTAGAGATATATTGGCCTTTTAATGAATCGTTTGGTGGAAAATTAATGGTTTAGGATGTGATTTATGTCAAGTACTACTAGTAGTTCCAAAATCGACAAAAGCAGAGACTATAAAATCTAGATTGCCAAAGCTATACTTCTGGCCTCAAATGAAAAAAATTCAACTGACAAGAAATATAAAGTAAGTACAGATTCAATATTCAATGTCTTCTTGCTTCGTGTCAGAAAC